TTAAGACTGCAGAAACAACAGTGAGCTGCATCGGCGGAGCTGGGAGCAAACTCACTGAGCTCAGTGCTTTGCACTGGTCCCACAGGAAAAATAATATCAATTTTGGCATCCTATGGGTCTAAATGGGTCCGTGTGGTGCTCAGACCTAACAGTCAACAGGTTCCTGCAAGATCAGCATCACCAACAACCTAGCTATGTGGGACACCTGGTGTCTCCCTAATCCTGGGACCTGCTCCAACTGTACAGACTACAGTGCAGCCTCAGGCACGGTATCACAGGGGATGGAGACTAGTGACCCAGGAGCTGTGGCTGTGGAGATCATGGTGGAAATCTAACTTAAGAACCCAGACCTGGAACTCACTGGAGGGAGTGGCACAAAGAACTGCAAAGAGCCATGTACCAACCACAATGAGTAAAATCGAATTGTAGACCTGTGGGTGACAGAGCTTAGAAACCTGCCCCAAGAAGAATCTGCTAACCAAAAGTACAATGACCAAGAGCAAAAGAAGACACACAGGGACTATTGCTGAAGACTCCCCTGCAAAGGAGCAAAAGGCTTCGCCATCCTCAGAGTTAACTGAGGAAGACATCGAGAAAATGGGGGACACAGAATTCAAAAAACTTGTTATATAGCTTCTTTTTTTAAAAAAAAAATGTATTATATTTTTATTGCAAAGTCTGATATATAGAGGAAGATAGAGAGAGGAAGGTCTTCTGTCCGATGGTTCACTCCCCAAGTAACTGCAACGGCCGAAGCTGCGCCCATCCAAAGCCAGGAGTCAGGAGCTCTTTCAGGTCTCCCACAGGGGTACAGAGTCCCAAGGCTTTGGGCCATCCTCGACTGCTTTCCCAGGCCACAAGCAGAGCTGGATGGGAAGCAGGGTTGCCAGGATTAGAACCGGTGCCCATATGGGATCCCAGTGCTTTCAAGATGAGAATGTTAGCCTTTAGGCCACTGCACTTGGCCCTATAAAGCTTCTTATCAACAGCAAGAAACACGTAATGCTGGAGTTCAGGAATTTAAGGAACATATCATACAGGAAATGAATGCTGATATATCAGAAATTAAGACTACAGTGAAGCAAATTAAAAGTATAGAGGAGAGTCTCTAAAATAGAATGGATGAAGCAAAAGAATGTCAGCATTGGAAGATATTTCCTGTCACCAGAAGGCCCACAGCCCAACGAGCACCCCATGCCCACACAAGCCCACCCATACCAGCATCATTTTCCAGACCCCTGTATGCCTGCACCTCCCCACTCCCACAAGCCCACCCTGCCAGCGCCATCCTCTGGGCCCCTACAAGCCCACACGCCCACCCACACCAGTGGAAGCCACGCCCCATGCTGGTTTGGACAGGAGTACCCGTATTCCTCTAATGCAACCCTGTCTCCATCAGCAGATAGTGCTGGGATTGCAGTGTTGACAAGCCAGCTCTGCCCTCCCAGGGAGCCAGATGCCACTGCCACCCCCAGCACACATGTGCTCTATCCAAGGCTTCAGACTATCTTCCCATCAAGACCCTGGAGGGCACGTGGGGGCCTGTATCCCACCTCAAATATTTAGAACAAGCGTTGAAAGCGCTGGAGTTCATGGGCACATGCTTAATCAGAGGTAAGTCATGGGGCTGGCACTGTGGCATAGCAAGCTGAGTCTCCACCTCTGGCACCGGCATCCTAAATCGACGCCAGTTCAAGTCCCAGCTGCTCCACTTCTGACCTAACTCCCTGTGAATCGCCTGAGAAAGCAGGAGATGATGGCCTAAGTTCTTGTCTCTTGTACTCACATAGAAGACCCCCAAAATAGACACCTTGCTCGGATTGGTGAAATCAGCATTTCAGAGCTATCCAAGCCACCTGGCCGGAACCCTTGGAACATGTCCACGTGGAGACTCGGTTGATAAGAGGTGGAGGCTCCTCATCCCTGGCTACTGGGATTAATATCCTGAGTGGATTTCTGCTTTGTTCCCTCACCCCAGGAAAAACAAGAAATGGCAAATTTGGAAGTAACGAATTCCCCCAATTTTCCCTAAACCTTGATCATTCCTACCCTGATTAACCATGTAATAATTATTTTTAAAAATAAAAAGAAAAAAAGGATCTTAGCAGGAAAAAGTGGGGGCCCGGGACAGTAACCTAGTTGCTAAAGTTCTTACCTTGCGTATGTCAGGATCCCATATGGGCACCACCAGTTCGTGTCCTGGCTGCTCCACTTCCCATCCAGTTTCCTGCTTGTGTGTGACAGCAGTGGAGGACAGCCAAAGCCTTGGCACCCAGCAACCTCGTGGGAGACCCAGAAGAGGCTCCCGGCTCCTGACTTTGGATCAACACAGTTCCAGCCATTGCAGCAATTTAGGGAGTGAATCAGAAGAACTTTCTGTCTTTCTATAAATCTGACTTTCCAAAACAATAAAATTTTTTTAAGATTTGTTTATTTTTGTTACAAAGTCAGATATACAGAGAGGAGGAGAGACAGAGAGGAAGATCTTCCGTCCGATGATTCACTCCCAAAGTGAGCACAATGGCCGGTGCTGTGCCAATCCAGAGCCAGGAGCCAGGAACCTCTTCCAGGTCTCCCACACGGGTGCAAAGCATTGGGCCGTCCTCGACTGCTTTCCCAGGCCACAAGCAGGGAGCTGGATGGGAAGTAGAGCTGCCGGGATTAGAACTGGTGCCCATATGGGATCCTGGTGCGTTCAAGGTGAGGACTTTAGCCACTAGGCCACGCCGCCGGACCCAACAATAAATAAATCTTTAAAAAAAAAAAGAAGTCATTAGTAGCTGCGAATATATCCACAACGCTTGTAGACCTTGTGGTCTTTCTGGCCTTAGCTGTTTTTAGAAAAAAGATTTAAATTTATTTATTTTTCTTGGAAAGGCACATCAGATTTACGTAGAGAAGGAAAGACAGGAAGATCCTCCATCTCTGGTTCCTTCCCCGAATGGCTGCAACGGCCAGAGCTGAGCGGATCCAGAGCCGGGAGCCAGGAACCACTGGTGTGTCTCCCATTAGGTTCTGGGTCCAAGGCTTTGGGTCATAAGCAGGGTCCTGGATGGGAAATGGAGCAGCCAGGACACAAGCCAGCGCCCGTGTGGCATCTCCGTGTTTGCAAGGGGAGGGTTTTGCTGCTGAGCTGTGGCACAGGGCCCATTTTTGAGAAACATTACATCACTGCTTTTCTCTACATCGCATGCATTATTGGAAATTATGGACAATGAAGGGCTTCCACTCGTGTTTCAAAAAGAACAACAAAAAAATACCCCTGTTTTAGGGCCTGGTGCGGTGGCATGGGTCAGTCTCCACCCATGTTGCCAGTGACCATGTTGGTGCTGGCTGGACTCTGCTTGGCGTCCAGTCCTGCTGGTGGCCTGAGGAAGCGGGAAAGGATGACTCCAAGTCCTTGGGGCCCTGACAGCCGCGTGGGCAACCTGGAAGAAGCTCCTAGCTTCTCTTTGGACCAGTTCAAGCTCTGACCATTGTGGCCGTTTGGAGATGGAACTAGCAGATGGAGGATCCATTCACGTCCTCCCCCCCTCCCTCCTCTCCCCCTCCTCCCTCCCCTCTCACCTCTCCTCCCCTCTTCCCTCCTCCCTCCCTCCTCCCTCCCCTCCTCCCCCTCACCCCTCCTCACCCCTCACCCCTCCTCCCCCCTCACCTCTCCTCCCCTTCCCTCCTCCCCCTCCCTCCCTCCCTCCCCCCTCACCTCTCCTCCCTCCCTCCCCCTCACCCCTCCTCCCCCCTTCCCTCCTCCCCCTCCCCATCCCTCCCTCCCTCCCCTCTGTAAATCTGCCTTTCAAATAAAAATAACTGAAGCTTTAAAAAAACTAAAGTGTAAATCAATTGAAAATGGAAATAAAATTTCTAATTAGAAGTATCTTTCTAGTAGAACCAGCCACTTTGTCTACAGCAGAACTTCTACTAAAAATTCTTAATTACTTCATTGGATCTTTTGTGATTTGTGCTAATTTTGAGCATTTTACAAAAAAAAATGAACTTTCAGGATTTTTTTAAAAGATGTATTTATTTTTGAAAGTGAGAAAGAGAGAAATCTTTCATCTGCTTTTGTGCTCCCCAAATGACCACAGTGGTCAAAGCAAGGAACGGTTCAAGCACACAAGCGTCTCGGCCATCCTCCAGTGCCTGCCCAGCAACGTCATCAGGAGGTCAAGTTGGACTTGACCTGGTGCCTCATCTAGGTCACCAGCAGCACAGGTGGCGGCTACGCTAGGTGCACTCGAGCGGCACCGGCAGTGGGTACACGCGAGCGGCACCGGCAGTGGCTTTTTTTTTTTTTTTGTCTTCTTGATTCACTTCCCAAATGGCCACAATGGCCAGGAGCTTCCTCTACATCTCCCCACCTGAGTTTAGGGCCCCAGCTTCTTGCCCATGTGCTGCTGGTATCCCAGGCTGTTAGCAGAGCTGAATGGGAAATGAAGCAACAGAGCCTTGAACCAGCACCCGTATGGGTTGCCAGCATTTCAGACAGTGTCTTAACCCACATACCACAGTGCTGCTGGTCTCACTTGATACAGGCCTGATGGGACAGTGGACCGCTTTGCTACAGGGGTGTGTGTGGTGTGCCGCTGAGGAGCGTGTCCTGCGGGTGTGTGTGTGTGTAGCCGCTGAGGTAATCGCTGAGTAGCCCGAGTGGCATCAGCAGTTCTCACGTCAGGCTGCATCCTGGAAGCAGGGATGAAGAGCAGGCTTATTTGTGGGGTGGTTTCCAGGTTGAAAGATGGAGGGAGAGGCATAGGTGCCCACAGTACCGAGTGGGGAGGGGAGGAGCCACGCTCTTGCGAGCCCAGGTGGTCTCAGAGACAGGCTGGGAAATTCATGTCCGGCTGCTCTCTGCGTGTCCTAACAGTGGTCACCTGCCATCTGTCCCTGATGGGCCTTGCTTTGCCAAGTGTCTGTCCCAGGTGCTGCAGGATTTGTGGAGTCCTCTCTTCATGCACGTGTCATCTGCAACTCTCACTCCCCCAAAATGTGTCCTTTCACAGCAACGGTGGCAGCCATGTATTACAGCTACTACATGTTACCGGATGGCACCTACTGTCTGGCCCCACCTCCCCCCGGGATTGACGTGACCACTTACTACAGCACCCTTCCCGCCGGTGTGACCCTGTCCAGCTCCCCTGGAGTGACGACTACTGCCCCACCGCCTCCTGGGACCACACCTCCACCCCCTCCCAGCTCAGCCGACACGAGCAGCGGGCCAGCCTCCACCACCACCACCACCACCACCACCACCACCGCAGCTGCCACCTCCGTCTCCTCCACCTCCACCACAAGGTGCGTGTGCGGCGTGTGGCCATCTGGGTCACGTACACAGGTTCACAGTTGAAAGGAAGACAGAAGCAGCCACAGTGTAAAGCTTCCCGTGGAGTCTTCACCAGAAGGGACCCCCGTCTCTGGTGGGTCATCACCTCGGGCAGAATCACCATGAGGTGAAGTTAAAGTGGTCAGGCAAGGATTGTGGCATAGCAGATAAACCTGCCATCTGCAGCACCAGCATCCCAGGTCACTGGTTGGAGTCCTACTGCTCTGCTTCCCATTCGGCTTCCTGCTAATACACCTGGGAGAGCAGAGGAGGCCCACGTGCTTGGGCCCCTGCACCGACGGGGAGACCCAGAGGAAGCTCCAGGCTGCTGGCTGTGGCCCCCACAGCCTGGCCATTTGTGTCCATTTTGGAAAGTGAATCAGTAAATGATGATCTTGCTTTTGCTTTGGCTCTCCTTTAAAAAAAAAAAAGAAAGAAAGAAATTAAGCTGCCTGCAAGCTTGCAGAGTTGCCTACAGGGAAGGATCCTGAGTATGTCTTGTCTCTCAGGCTGTTGGCAAGCCTGGGTCGGGTCGGGCCCTCAGGAGAGAGTGACAGGGCAGGCACCTGCCCCAGGTTGGGCTCCTTTGGGGCTTGTGGGTGAACAGAGGCCACAACGGGGACTTGGCCACAGGGGCTGGGATGTGTCCCATCTGAGAGAAGCTCAGAACATCTGACAGGGCATGTGTCTTTCCGTGACAGTGGCCTGCATTCTGACCACGCAGAGGAGGTTACACAAGAAAGAAGTCCCTGAACCAGGCTTCAGCTTGTGACTCATTCTGGGGTTCCTGAGGATGAGCTCAGGAGGGACATGAGGGCAGAACAGACCTGCGTCTGTTGCTTCCTTTTCATTGAGTCATGACCTCTGCATCCCTGTGTGGATGCACTGACTAGTTTAAGTGCCCCCTGCGTCACTGACTAGCTCTGCAGCACAAGCTGGCTTCAGGTGAAGGACCCTTGCCTATCGCTGTGCTGCACGGGGCAGGCACTCACCAGCCTCTTTCCACAGTGCACTTGCCCCCATGGCTGCCATCATCCCCCCGCCCCCTGACATCCAGCCTGTGATCGACAAGCTGGCAGAGTACGTCGCTAGGAATGGCCTGAAATTTGAGACCAGTGTTCGTGCCAAGAATGACCAGAGGTAGGCTGAAGTTCTCAAACCTAGTCACATCATTGCTTTGTCTTTAGGTAAATACATGTGATAATCATCTTGTTAAATTAAAGAGTTGGGTGGCACTTTATCTGTGTTTAATTGTAGTGCCTGTCGGTGTGTGCCAAGTGCAGTTGTGGCAGCTGACTAACAGGCTAGAAGTCGTTCTTTTCACAGTCTGCCTTAAAACCCCGACACAAGCATTTGTTTCTGAAAAAAATGAAGTAAAGCATGAAACCTGTGGTTAGGTCTGCAGTGTGGTGAGGCGGGAGCCCAGACTGGCATGTGGGCAGCCAGGTGCCCAGTGAGCAGCCCAGGCTGTCTAAGTGACCTGTGTGCCTTCCTGCTCACAGGTTCGAGTTCCTGCAGCCATGGCACCAGTACAACGCCTACTATGAGTTCAAGAAGCAGTTCTTCCTGCAGAAGGAAAGGAGCAGTGGTCCACAGGTACAGGGGGCGGTGAGGGTGACTCTGAGCAGACACCGTGTGCAGGTGCAGAGTGAGCTGCTGCTGCTGCTTCACAGATAACAGTCAGCAGGAGACCTGTTGACCACGTCCACTCACGTTCCCTGTGCATGGTCTGTGTTCCAGCATGTTTGCTCAGCCAGTGGAGTTGTGAGGGATTCGTTGCCTGATGGTTGTGACTGCTTCTGACAGAGGCCCTGTCTTCGTGTCTGTCATGTTGCTTTAAGTCTGTCCAACAGAAACATGCGGCCCAGCACGGTGGCCTAGTGGCTAAAAGTCCTCACCTTGAACGTGCTAGGATACCATATGGGCGCCGGTTCTAGTCCCAGCAGCTCCACTTCCCATCTAGCTCCCTGCTTGTGGCCTGGGAAACCAGCCCAGAGTGTTGGGACCCTGCACCTATGTGGGAGACCTGGAAGAAGTTCCTGGCTCCTGGCTTCGGATCAGTGCAACACCAGCTGTTGTGGTCACTTGGGGAGTGAATCATAGGACAGATCTTCCTGGCTCCCAGGCTGAGTGCCTGTTGGAGCATTTCTGCTTGGCCTGTGGCTCTCCCTAGCTTGGCTGAGTGGACGCCTGGCCTGTCACTCCCCTCTGGTCTTTGTGTATCATTGCACAGACAAAGGAAGTGGGCCCATCTGTAGGCGTGCAGAGTGAGTGGTTTTCCGCAGGGCTGTCAGAGGAAGCAGTCTGCAGGCAGCACTGCAGTGTTCTCAGCAGGCAGCTTCGCACTCTGAGTGGCAGCACCCTTCCACACGGGGTCATCTGGGTCTGTCTAAAGAGAGTTGCCTGGTTCCGGCACATTCTGTACAGTGTCTTAGGCAGCAACTGTGACTGCTCAATCTCGCTAGGCTGTGTCAACACCAGAAGAGGCCCCTGCAGAACCTGCTGCTGAAAAGTCCCATGATGGCGGGGAGGACGGAACTCCAGAGGGCACGGTTGATGTGGGAGGCAGAGGAAGCTCCTCCGGGAAGAGAGAAGTGCCACCTGGCAAAACCCTGGCTGACGGGAAACTGGTCAAAGGTAAGGTCAGTGAAATGAGGTCCTGGCCTTGTGTTCTGAGACTGAGCCGGGGGGCGAAGGGGCAGCATCTTCTGTGATTCCGGAGGGTCGTGCGGCTGCCTGCTCAGCATCTGGGATTGTTGTACAAGCTTCTGAAACTGCAAACATTGTGCCAGCGAAGGTCAGCTTCTTGGTTTGTCGGAGCAGGTGCACTGAGGATCTACCAGCAGTAACCCGCTTCCTCAGGGTTGGTTACAGGTCATGTTCTCGGAAGGTTTTCGTGCAGCAGGTCCCACTGTGTGTAAATGCCAGAACAATATCAAGCAGAAATAAAAGCGGAGGACTGTGAGGCCGACCATAAGGCAGGAGCTGATTTCACCTGGTGGGAGTAAGAAAGACCTGGAGAGATGGGTGCTCATCTGAGTCCAAGGGTGAAGGAATGAGATTCCCAGAGGGGGGAACACAGCCCTGGGCAGAGAGCCCTAAAGTGAGTGGGCCCAGGGACTCCACGCGAGGTGCTGTGGAGCAGGATCTGATGCAAGGTGGCCATGTCATGGGGCCCTTGGAGTCTGTCCGAGCTGGTAAGGCTGATTTTGCGGGTCTTGGATCCTCTAGTCAAAGAGTGGAGAGGCTGAGGCAAAGGAACTACTGAGGTTTGTGGTAGAAGTCAGAGTGGTACAGGCAGAGCATTTGGTCAGAGGAGAGAACAGCACAGATGTGGGGAGCACAGACATGGTCCAGACAAGGAAAACTGCCTTCGTGTGGAAAAGCAGGCAGAGGGACCAACGAGGAAAGGTCCCCGGAGCTCTCACATCTTCCTGGCCGCCTTGTCTGTGGTTGAAATAACCCAAGGAGAGTCAGCAACAGTCCTAAGACAGTGTTGCTGTACAAACCAGGAGGCAGCACCACCTCATGTCCAGGACAGGCCCGGTTGGAGTTTCAGTCCAAATGGAGAAGAGATCCCTTTGGACCACGTTGGTCACAGAGGAGTAGCCAGGAGACAGTAGCACCCCAAGAAAGCCCCTCAAAGGCCAGGTCTGCCCCCATGGGTCCTGAATCCCCCATAGGAGACATGAAGGAGGCCTGCTGGGCCCCAGGCAGCTGTCCTGGCATGGCTGCTGCTCCACTGGCTGGGGGGTTCACCTCCTTCCTCTGCCCTGCAGCCCTCAGGGCACAGATGGAGCCCAGCAGCTCTGGGTTCCAGAGGACATGGGCGGCTCTGTGAGTGGGCAGGAGAGCCGGAGGACACAGGCGGCTCTGTGAGTGGGCAGGAGAGCCGGAGGACCCTGAGGAGCAGCTAGGGGCCATTCAAGTCTCTCCATTTGTATTCCACAAACTGGAGCAGTTGATAATCTGGTCCTGTTACAGTGGAAGGACTGAAGATCAGCTTGGGGGAGAAGACAAAGTGAGAAACCCCACATCTGGATGGAGATAGAGGAGGCTACCAGGTGGGAGCGGGCAGGTGTCACGGCATGTGGGCACTGGGCTCCAGCAGCAGGTACCCCTGACCCGGCGCAGCCTGCAGATGACGCACCCCACAGGCAGGGCCACAGCTGCCAGAAAAACAACCTGTCTATCCTGCATTGGTAGTAACTTCAACATACCAGGTAAAGCAAAGCAAGCTTGAACTCAAGAGCTTAAGAAGACACTGCGAAGTGCATGTCACAGTAAAAGCCGAGGCAGGAGGACAGGAAGGGGCAGGAGTACAGATGGACGCAGAACAAGTGTCAGCTCAGGGTTAAGGTGGCTCCTGGCTGTCCCGTCTCCTGGGGGAGTCCCTGACTTCACATGCCAGCTTTACACCCCGTTTCCAGATTCCTACCCTGAACTTTCACAGGGAATGGCTCTGGTGTTTGGGTCACTCCTGCCCACATGGGAGATGTCCCAGCACCGCTGATAGGAGCTATGGATAGAGAGCTTCTGTGACTCTCTGCCTTTCTAATAAATACATTTTAAAAATCAGAACAGAGAAAAGAAGGAATGACTAAGACAATAATACATGACCAATAAAATACATAGTTACTGTATCAGTTTAGTACAGAAAAACACAAACGTAAGTTTATACCCTGACAAAAAATACTTTAAAATATATGTTTGAGTTTGAATAAATTTGAGATATTTTCTAAGAAAATGTAAATTGCTAAAGTTGTTTGAGTCAAAGGTGGGAAACTGGCCCAGGTCGACAACTGTGAAGAACTTGAAAGCACTGCTGTGGCTGGGCAGTGGGCCCAGCCGCTCGGCAGTCAGCAGCACCGTGTCCCGAGTGTAAAAAAGAGAGACCTTTGAAAGTGCTTGGAGCTTGGTGCTGTCCAGACCACTGTCGCTGAGCCCACTTGTGTGTCCAGGTCATAACCAGACCATGAGCCCGAGGGCTTGTTCCAGAAGCCAGCCCCGGGTGGCCAGCACCAGCGCTCTGGCCATTGTCCTTGTGCATTTCAGTTGGTGCTCCTGAAATTAGGGTGTGCAGCTTCCTCGGTGCTGGGAACACACATCACATACAATGGCATCAGAAATATCCAGTGTTTACGTGTAAGCAACAAAACTATAAAAGTAGATGAAAATATGAGAAATTCATCTTTGATCATGTTTCTAAGAACCAAAGCTATTTGTGTCAAATCGGTCAGGCTGCAGACTGAGGCAGAGCGGTGGCCGCACCAAGTGGTAGCTTGCATCAGTGACGGCTCTTGGGGGCCTTGGAAGACAGTCTGTTTGACAGTGGGGAAAAGGCTGACAAAAAGGACAGAACACTTGTCCTCTGAAATGGACAGGAACAATGCCCCATGATGGAGGGGCTTGAGGCAGCAGGTCCTTCTAAGCGCATTCCCAAGAGGACTCTGACAGACCAACCACATGCTGGCAGAAATGCCTTCCAGGCCACGGGGTTCACCTGCCTGCCTAGCCAAGGGTGTTCACTGTGGCCATTGAAAATAAGAGTTGGTACACAGTCATGGGAGATTAGGAAGCAAATTGCCGTAGCCTTAAAACTGGCTACCATTTTTCAAACGATTTGTGCTGACGTGGAAAGATGTATAGTTTGGTGTCATTGAGTGGGGTCTGCATTGTGGAGACATCACAAAACCGTGCTGGGCAGCTCAGCCTCTCAGCGCCGGCTGCAGATGCGGTAGGCACGGCATGTTCTGCTCACAGCCAGCTTCTCTGGAATGAGTACAAGGAGCACACGCTCGGAACCAGAAGTGGCTCAGTGTCACAGCTGGGTTGACTGGCAGCATCGGCGTGTCTGCACAGTGTCACCACCAGCAAGTGAAGGACCTGCTCCTGGGCGCATTAGAGAGCCGCGGTCGGGCCGGAGCCAAGGCTTGAACCAGTGTCCACTCTGGGAAGCAGCGGCGACGCTCAGTGTGGGTCCTGCCATGTGGGAGGCCAGGACCGAGCTCTTAGCCCCAGACTTTGTTTTGCCTGTGGGTGAGCACTGCTGAACACCGGAGCCAGGAGCTTCTTCCAGGTCTCCCACTGTATGCAGGGGCCAAAGACCTGCCATCCTCTGCTGCTTTCCCAGGCCACAAGCAGGGAGCTGGATGGGAAGTGGGGCAGCCGGGATTCGAGCTGGAGTGCACGTGGGACTGGGATGCCGGCACCACAGCTGCAGACTCAGGGTACTGTGCCGTTGTGCTGCCCCAGAGCGTCTCCATTTTCAGTTCAGTCCCCAGTGTACATGGAGTAACAGCAGTGTGGGCCTACTGCTTAGACCTCGCCCCCCACATAAGAGATACCATTGAAAATCTACTCACCCAACCCAATCTGTTGTGACCATTTTGGGAGTGAAATTCACTCCCTGGGGCTGGCGTTGTGGCTTGGCAGGATAAGCCAAAGCCTCCCACACCAAATTATATCTGGGCACAGGGCCAAGACCCAGCAGCTCTACTTCTGATCCAGTTCTCTGCACATTAGAAAGTAGAAGAAGGGCGTTTGTTCTTTGTATCAGAGTCTGGGCAGTGGGCTTGTGGGAGCGTGAGGTTTCAGGCATGCAGGGGGCCTGGAGAATGGTGCTGGTATGGGTGGGCTTGTTTGGGCATAGGGGTGCTCGTTGGGGTGGGCAGGCTCATGGGGGCGTAGGGGTGTGGGCTTGCTGGGGGCTTTGGGAGATGGCACTGGTGGGACTGTGCGAGGACCTGAGGGCTCACACCCAGGCAGGCAAAGCAAGCCTGGTGATTTCCTCATGTGCTTGGTCCCAGGCAGGGGTGGGTGGGGGGGGGGACTCTAGGTTAGCAGTCTACTGTGGTGTGCTGGTGGACCGGGTTTGGGGAGTTGTGAATGTGCTTGGATCCTGGGTGGGCAGAGGGGTAGGGTACCAGGCCAGCACAGCGGCCAGGAGATTGGGTCCCTGGTGGGCAAGCAGAACTCTAAGCCAGCATGTCATCCTTGGAACAGCAAGATTGATAGCATTTCACAACTATTGAAACCACTTGAGCAGAACGCTTGGAGCATGCTGCACATCAGGGCTCCTGGAGTGACATCGGGTGGCCGTTCCCCAGGTACTGATGCGGTTAGGATGCTGCGTTAGGCTTCTCCTGTTCTCCTCCCTCTTCCCCCAAATACAGGAAGAAGACAAGGCAAATTTAGAAACAAAGGTCTCACCCACTTTCCTCTAATCATCAACCCTCTCCACCCCAGTCAGTGGTCCACATGGCATGCAGCTGTCTCAACTATGTAAACATCATCAAAAATAAGTGAAAGTAAATAAGTAGCATAAGATGGCCCCAAAATTTGATTCCCTCCATCCATGTGGGATACACAGCACATGGAGCTCCTGGCTTTGGCCTAGCTCTAGCTGTTGCAGCCATTTGGGAAATAAACCTTCAGATGGAAAGATCTCTGTCTCTCCCTCCTTCTCTGTGATTCTGCCTTTTTAGATTTTTTTTTTTTTCTTAAACCAGAAAGGCATATACAGGAAAAAAGGAGATACAGAGAGAAAGATCTTCCATCCACTGGTTCACTCCCCAAATGGCCGCAACGGCCTAAGCTGTTAGCTGTCAGTTGAGCCAATCTGAAGCCAGGATCCAGGAGCTTCTTCCGGGTCTTCCATGTGGGTGCAGGTTCCAAGGCTTTGGACCATCCTTGACTGCTTTCCCAGGCCACAGGCAGGGAGCTGGGTGGGAAGTGGGGCTGCCTGACACAAGCCAGCACCCGTAACAGCAACAATACAGTGCAGTTGCATCACATTACATGGTCAGCTGCTTTAGGATTTTAACTGGTAAACGATTCCTTTCCCAACATGTAGCATTGTTAGCGTCTCCTAGCACGTGTGGACTTGGACTGTAAAATGCCCGAAGTGGAGAGAGCCTTCATGTAGCTGGTCAGCCTTGGCCTGCCCTGCTACGAGCTCTAGCGCTGGGATCTGAGCCTCTTCTTGAAGAGGGCTGCGGCCAGGACCCACTTCTCTCCTAAAGCTGCTGGTTTGAAGAACCCTTAAAATCTCCTTCTTTGCATGCTGAATATCCTTCATGGTTTGAAAAGTAAAGTGTCGTACTGCATCAGTTAGCTGTTGTGGAGAATGTTTGCCACTCTGTCTAGAAGAGAGGGATGGGAGTACTGGAAAGGTTTCTCATGATCACATTTTGTAGGTTTCTGGGGTAGAGGGGGATACAGCAGCCTAATTTATGTTCTGTTAGCTGTCAGTTGTTCTTACAGATGGAGAGGATTGTCTTAACTACCTGTCACAAAGTAGACGTGATAAATACTAGCTGGATGGGTTCTGTGATTTTGTTATGTAAGCAAAGGTTTCTACAGTTGGCATTTTTTTTTTCAAAAGTCACATCGTAAACCTCCAAAGTGCACATTGAACTGCATGCTGAACTCGGAATACATTGTAAAGAAGAAAAAATGACCAAGAATTGGCCATTTAAAATCGCAGGTGACCACATTTTGGCACTCAACAAGTGGGTCCCTGTACAGTTCCGGGGGTAGCGCTGTGACCATGCAGGCTGCACTGGACTCAGCCTGGGGCCCGCTCCCCAGCCCCCTGCATGCCACAGGCATAGAACAGGACAACTTTGACTCTGTGAACGTCCCTCCTGCCCACGTAGCTTCTCATGAGATGTGGCTCCTGCACAAGCCACCCTGCCACTCGCTGATACTCGGGTGGTTGGGGACCTGTGACAGTACCTACTGTGTGCGTCTCAGTACCTAACACCCCACCTTCCCCCTGCTCATAGCTTCCTGTGACAGTACCTACTGTGTGCATCTCGTTACCTAACACCCTGCCTTCCCCCTGCTTGTAGCTTCATTTGCTCCAATAAGCTTTGCCATCAAGGCCAAGGAGAATGACCTCCTGCCCCTGGAGAAGAACCGAGTGAAGCTTGATGATGACAGCGACGAGGGCGAGGAGAGCCCCGAGGGTCCGGAGAGCTCGGCTAGTGCCACGCACCCGCAGCCAGCCGCCACCCCGCCACGTGTGATCTCGGAGGAAAAGAAGCCCCAGCTGACCCAGGAGGAGCTGGAAGCAAAGCAAGGTGGGTGTATCTGCCAGGCCATTGACACTGAGACTACACGGCTCTGCCACCGAGGGACCTGGGTGGCCTGCCAACCGGGAGCAGGGTGCTCTGCACATGCCAGCAGGAGTCTGACTGGAGTCACAAAGTAGGCACCAGCAGGCACCACTGTGGGTCACCCTCCACACTGCACTGGCAGCCCTGTCCTATCTGTCAGCCGAGTCCTGGGGCCCATGACGATGGTGTGTCTACACGGATGGCCCACGGCACAGTCCAAGCCTGTTGGCAGCAGCACTGGGGGAACGCAGTGAAGGAGCTGACTGCTGTGTCTGCTTCTGAGCTCTCCTGACTGGTTTTCTGTGCACATACACACCGTTGAGGCAGTGTTGACGAAAGGTGTTGGGCTGCAGTGACCTCTTGGTCAAGTTCCTGCGTTGTGCCAGAGCGGTCCTCTTGTGTGTGAATCTGTGCCACGGGATGTGCACTGACCGGCTGCTTGGGTCATTTGGACCAGGTTTCTTCCTCAGAGTGTTCATTGCCTGGTAGGAGTGAACGTTTTGGGGGCTGTGTTCTGAGGTTTCCATCACCCCAGCTTTCACTGGGTGAACTCCATCACCACCTAACATTGAAAGTTAACAGCAAGGTGAGCTCGCACTTGCTCCCTGCTTCACTTCTCCCTCTGTTTGTTCCTAAGCCAAACAAAAGCTGGAGGACCGGCTGGCCGCTGCTGCCCGGGAGAAGCTTGCCCAGGCTTCCAAGGAGTCAAAGGAGAAGCAGCTGCAGGCAGAGCGCAAGAGGAAGGCAGCTCTGTTCCTACAGACCTTGAAGAACCCCCTCCCCGAGGCAGACACCGGCAGGACCGAGGACAGTGCTGCCGGCATGGAGGTACTTTCAAGAACATCTTGTGTGGCTGAGGGCCTGAGCAAGGGCGCATGGGCGCACACCAGGTGCCACCAACAGGGAATCAGGCTCCCTCTTGTATCTGTGGGTGGGGTTGGCATTGTGGCCTGGTGCTGGCATCCCAGGTGAGCACTGAACTGAATCCCAGCTGCTCCACTGTACTCCAGCTCCTCCTGCTAGTGTGCCTGGAAAGGCAGCAGGCTGACTCAGCCATTTAGGAGGTGATCTCACTACCCTTCTCTGTAAAACTCCGCCTTTTAAGTAAATTAAATCTTTGAAATGGAAACAAGAAAAATGGCTGAGGTTCCAGTGACACACAGAGAGCAGCTACAGGGCCAGCCCCTGGGGCGGCCTGTCAGGGCTGCAGGCAGTGACCATAGACACACACAGAGCAGCTGCAGGGCCAGCCCCTGGGCGGGCTGTCTCCCAGGTCTGCAGGCCCACTATGTCACTGAGCTCTCCTCACACAGACGTCCTATGCCCATGTCTAGTCAAAGCAGCGTCCTGATTCAAAAGGGAGATGAGACATGACCACCGTTGCCTTTCCTTCAGAGTCAACAGCACTTTGTCCACGTAGTGTGTCCAGGGTCACGACCGTGGCCTCAGCAGGGTCCTTGTGAGGCACCTGGGACCCTGTACCCCCTGAGACCAGCGACCTGTACAGTCGGCCTCTTCGGCAGCAGCAGAGCACTTCGAGTTCACATGAGACCACTACTTCCCATCATACTGGTTAGCAATCTACGAGTTTTAGATTGTTAAAATGGTTCTGTTTCTTTTGTTCTGAATTTATACTTCAGAAATACCTAGGGATACTGGGAGTTCAGCAATGTGCTGGAGATGAAAGTGCAGTGTGACACACCTTGGCATCTTACCAAGCTATAGAACCACGGGTCAGAAGTAGCTTCAAGGCCAGCATTGCGGCCAGTGCCTGTGGCACAGTACAAGTCCCAGCTGCCCCACTTCCCATGCAGCTCCCTGTTGATGCATCTGGGAGAGCAGCGAGGACGGCTGAGTGCTCGGGCCCCTGCCCCACAGGGGGGGTCTGGATCTTGGCTCCCATCTGGCCCAGCTCCAGGTGAACTGGCCGATGGAAAATCTGTTTCTGTAATTTGTTCAGATAAAAAATAAATCTTAAAAAATTATTCATTCTATACACATGCATCATAGACATATACATATCAGGAGTAGCTAAAGTAGCTTCAAAAGTGTGCCTTTGTGATTGTGTGGTGTTTTTTTTTGCACTATTTTGTGTTAGATTTATTTTATTTATTTGGAAACCAGAGACAGAGATGTTCTGTCTGCTGGTTGACTCCACAGACACCTATAACAGCCAAGACTGGGCCACGGACTCTGGCCTGGCTTCCTTCGAGTGGCAGAGGTGCAAGTACTTATGCCTAGCCAAGCACATTAGCAGGGAGTGGGATCAGAAGTGGAGCAGCCAGGAGTTAACCCACGTTCCAGTGGGAGGCGGACAACTTCCCTTGTGGTTTTGAAAGTGCAGTTACAAATAGGAATTTGGGAAACGTGTCTCACTCTACTTTCCTTTCAAAAGAAGAGTACTGGGTCATGATTTCTGGTTTTAAGACTCTTCTGGCTTCAGGAGCAGGGAAGGAACAGACACTCCCTGCTCGGCATGAGCAGGCGGGCACACACCTTGGCCTTGCTCCCTGAGCCTGAGGAGGGCCTCGCAGGTGCTGACCTGGTGAGTGTGCCCCTGGGCCTCTGCGGGCACCAGCCACACCACATTTCCCCAGGTCCCAACATGTCTCTGTCCTAGGCTCGTCCCTGTGATGTGGGGTGGGCCCTCAGCCACAGGGCCATCACTACAAGCAAAAACTCAGCATGAAGTATCTAGCTTCTGTGGGTGTGCACTGCAGGCCGCATCAGCTTCCAGGGTCAGTCGTCAGCGCGGGGCCCCCTGCAATCTGTGGAAGGCTCAGTGGTACAGGCTGTTAGGGTGGGAAAAACAGCAGCTGCCTCAGACCTCACTGTGCCAGCTGGATGTCCGTCAACACTCCCAAGTGCTCAGCAGTCTCATCCTCTCCTGACGTCTCCCTGACGTCCCCTCTCCAGGCAGCGTACTTGCGTGGACTGTGCAGCCGCTGTTCTGTGTGAGGAACACGGTGCGGTTGCTTGCTCACTCGCCCAGCCACTGGAGCGCAGTGACTGCTCCTGTGCCCTGCAGACTGCTCTGTTGGAAGCATCACATGTGCAGGTGTGACTTCACATGCTGTATGCTTGTTGATATGGGAAGGTCTTGACAGAACACAAAACGTGAACTTGGTATGTGAAATCTAAAAACATGTGCACATAAGACATGCCCAGTCCTGTGTGTGCCGGCTCCATTCATGGAGAAGAGCGAGTTGTACCCGTCTCAGCTGCTCTGGAGTGACATGTGACAGGCAGACCAGAGGGTGCTGCACGCAGATCCAGCTGTGTTCCTGAGCATGGGAGGAGCAGACTGAACCTGAGCTGCTCACTGTGGTCAGGTTGGCATCCAGGCAAGGAGGACAGGGAGTCCAAGCCGGCCATGCAGGCCCACGAGCCACTTCAGCAGGAAGGCTTGGGGCCAGGAACAGACCTGAAGGCCTGGGTACTGGTGAAATAACAGAGTTAGTGACCCAGAGACCTACGTGTGGGCCCACAGGAAGCCGTCTGTCATCCTACGCAAGCATGGGTGGAGGGCAGCACTTCCCCAGAAGAATGTGGGGTGGGCAGGTGGAGCAGCAGAAGGGCCCGCGTCACGGTTGTCCAGTGCCTCTCCCCAAGTTCTCATCTGCTTTTGCCACAACAGAAAAGTGTTGCCAGCTTCAGTGCCAATGTGTTGTCACATACTTGATGTCCTAAAAGGACTTAGGTGGGCAGTAAAATTTTAAATACTGCATAAAGTACTGACTTTTTAGAAGCTTTGCTTATTGATTCAGAAGACAGAGATCTTCCCTCTGCTGGTTTACACCCAAAATGGCTGCAGCTGCTGGCACTGGACCAGGCAGAAGCCTGGAACTTCCTTCAGGACTGCCAACTTGTTTCCCATCTACTTGGCCTCTGGATCCTCCTGGTCAGGCATTGTCCTCACTGTGTGTGTGGTGACCTTGGTCAGGGAGGACAGAAGGCTTTAGGGAAGTGCCTGCGCCCTGCAGAGGAGGCTGCTCCTTGACACCAGGGAGCGAGAGAGAAAATAGTTGCAGGTTATGAAAAGGTTTGACCTTCATGAGCCAGCGGCGTGCTGCCGCGGGTGCTGGTCTTGCCCACTGCATCCTTGCAGGGTTCTGCTGACAGACCCCAATGTCACAGTCCCCTTCGCCATCCCAGCCCTACAGTGAGTCCAGTAGCCTTGCTGAGGGATGATGTGTGTGTGAGACTCCCCCTTTTCATACCACATACGTGCTTTGTCCCCAGGAAGCCAGTGCTGCGCCGAGTCCTCTCTTGGTGGGAGGCAGACCGCTCCCTGCGTTGGATGCCGACAGCCCTGAGAGGCCTTCCAGCAGGAGCAGAGATGCGCCAAGAGAAGAAGAGAGAGAAAAGAAAAAGAAAAAGCACAAAAAAAGGTCCCGAACAAGATCACGTTCTCCCAAGGGCCACTCGTCATCCAAGTCTGGGTCCAGGTCCCACTCGAAAGCGAAGCACTCTCTTCCCAGTGCCTATCGGACGGTGCGGAGGTCGAGGTGGGTGTGCAGGTGGGCCCAGCCTCTGTCCTGTGTCTGTGGGAGGCTGGGTGCTGAAATGAGTGCAGCCATCACCAACAGGGGTGTGTGGGTGTGTGTCCCGCAGCCTGAACTTAAGCTTTTAAACATATTGTAAATGTCATTTTATCATCAACTACAATCAAGTTTAAAAAATGGGTTTTAGATTTTAGCACGCCCTGGCGGGAGCTTCACACACACATTAAGTGTGAAAGACCTGCAGGATGGCGTGCTGGGCTCTGGGTTCACCCGTCGGAGCCTCCCCGTGCTCCGCCAGCAGCTGCAGGTGCACGTGGAGATGAGGCAGCAGCGCAGAGCTGTGTCCCGCTAGCTCTCAGCGTCCGCTAGAGCCAGCACTGCCCCAGAAGCCTTCTCAGAGGAGCCAGTTTTTGAGAAAGCAGGAAAGATAAATTCCATTCTGGCAGCACTAATGCTATGTGTGGAAGTGGTTGATGTTCTTAGTTGAACAGTTTGAAAATGAAACGGGGGCAGCTTGCTGAGGTGTGGGCACATCCAGCTCCTGGCTCACCCTCGGCACAGTGCCCGCCATGGCTCTCTCCATCCTGACGGAAGGAAGGGGCACTCACACAGTGTGTCCACTGCCTGAAATTCAGTTTTGATGCTTAGGTGTTTTAAACAGCAAGACTAGAGCTTAAAACCAAGTGGTGTGTGTGTGTTTGTTTTTTCCAAGATTTATTTATTTTTATTGGAAAGTCAGATATACAGAGGAGAGCCAGAAAAGACCTTCCATCCACTGATTCAATCCCCAAGCGGCCACAATGGCCGGAGCTGCACCGATCTGAACCGGGAGCCAGAAGCCTCCTCCTTGACCATTCCATTTGTTTTCAGGAATGACAGGGGTGTTTTCCATGACCAGAGGAATGTGAGGATAAGTTGATCTTTGGAACAACACTGTGTCTTGTTTTGTGTTTTATTGTAATTAAAATAACTATATGGACCCTTTTGAAATGACAACATGAAGTTGCTCTTTATATCGTTTTTGAGAGGGTTGCCATGGAAACAGGTGTGAGAATCTTTTTCCCAAAATTATTTAGTACAAATTTCCCAAAACAGTCATTTTACTAAATGAGCAAATAACTAAAATATAAGTCCTCAACCAGTGTTAAAAGACCCTAACTCCCCTGGAGGGGTGAGAGTCTCCAGGTCTACCTGCTGTGTGTGCATTACAGCGCCACCCGAATGGGCAGAGCAGACGTGAGCAGTCACTTGGCTTGGCGCCTCGGCTGTTGTGGCCAAGCTCTGCACGGACTCGGGGCTGGGCTCTGCCCGTGATCCAGCACATTCTCCATCCGTGCCCAGAGGCCTGAGTCAGCATGAGCAAGCACAGTTGGCAGGCTCTCCTGCCTTCCTTGGGCAGCTAGAGATGGCCTGAGGCGGGGTAAGGTGTTGGTAGATGCCCCTGGGAGCCACGGCTGTTGGTAGAGAAGGCGGGGAGCAGACAATGAGGCAGCTTAACCAAAGACACACTGGCCATGAGGTCTGCTTCTGTCAGCCCCTGGGACCAGCAGCCCCAGCCCTGGTGATCTGAGCCTTGGTCAAAGGCTTGTCTTCAACGTGCTAAGTGTGGGATGAGAGAAAATAGCCTATATGAATGAGGTGGTGGTCCACGTGTCACTGCGGCCCTGGGGTGGTGGTCCGCGTGTCACTGCGGCCCTGGGGTGGTGGTCCACGTGTCACTGCGGACCTGGGGTGGTGGTCCGCGTGTCACTGCTGCCCTGGGGTGGTGGTCCGCCTGTCACTGCGGCCCTGGGGTGGTGGTCCGCGTGTCACCGGAATTTTGATGGCGGGGGTCTGCTCCCAGTGAAACGTGATTGAGTCTGTGCAGGCAGCTGACCTGGCTGTGTGTTTTGGTCAGGTCTCGCTCCCGATCTCCTCGCAGGAGAGTTCACTCCCCTGAGAGACGGCGAGAGGAACGGAGCATCCCCACTGCCTACCGGATGAGCAGCAGCCCCGGGGCCAGCAGGAAACGGACCCATTCCAGGTAGGTGGCCTAGACTTGCAGGGCACGTGTGTTTAAACCTGCCTGTGGGAACTCGGTCAGCACTGTGCTGGGTTTGGGGACGTGAACTGTCCAGTGGTTGCCAAAGGCCCACTCGTGTGCTGGTCACATGCAACCCAGCTCTCACAGGGCCTTGCATTGTATGCCATTTTCCCCTCTATTGGGCCCATACCCAGGTCCTCTTTCCCTTTCCTGTCAGGGAACAGAATGGAAATACAAGAGTTTCCTGTCTTAAAACTCCCAAGTTGGGAGGGCAGTCCCCATTGGGTGAGGTGGCCTGTGGCAGTGAACTTGAGCTTGTAGCTCCAAGAGAGGTCACAGAGGCCTGTGAGGGTTTGACCTCCCAGCCTGTGGTGGGCGCAACCTGGATTGTGAGAGAAGGTGGAAGGTTAGCTCTTGAGTGTGTTAAGTGAAGCCCCAGCCCTCCCACCCGCTGGGCCTGACAGCCTAGGACCCCCTTGACCAGCAGCTGAGCTGTCAGCGGAACATTGCTGATTGACCCTGGGGCTGCCATCCCGGCCCAGAGCTGCCTCCTCAGGCCTCAGCTGCTGTGCCTCCTCCCTACAGGGAGTTGAGGCCGACTCTGCTGTGGGGGCTGGACAGGGAATGCTGTATGATGGAACAGAGAATGTTCCAGAAATGTCCATGTCTACGTCATTCATCATATATGCTGGGGAGGTTCCCAGAGGGGACAGGCCTGAGTCCTACAGCATACTTGGCTCTTAGCAAGCACGTCTGTGCTTCAGGCTTTCTGGTCAGACGAGGAGGGCTGGCCCCACAGCATTATGAACATGGGCAGGTAGCATCTGGAAAGTATTTCCCACACAGGACTTGGGCCATCTGGCCGCGTGTACCTGGTGGCAGCAATAACAGCTGAGCTGAGGACTGCCGTAGCCAGGGCAGCCACTGGGCTCAGGTGTCCCCCAGTTGCGCGGCTGCATGCGTCTGTGAATGTGGGGCACGGCTTTCTGGAAACTGTCACCAAGTCAGCACAGAGAAGCAGTGTGAGTTGAGAACCACAGCTGCCTCCGACTTCCTGCTAAGAGACCCCTTCTCCAGGGTCTTGTCAACTGTGCCGATTGCTCCGTGAGTTCATAAAGTTAAAGGAATGTGACGAGTGATCATTTGCAGACTGTTGGGGACAGCAGGTCAGGTCACCTCCTGCAGTGCAACAGGGATGGCCCCAATCCTTGGAGCCTGCCACCGCCTGGGACAGAGAGATGGCTTCCTGCTGGCCTGCCTCAGACCCAAGCCCTCCCCAGACAGGACGTTGACCCTTCGCAACAAATGTGATTCTCTGAAAAGCGCTTTCCTTCCAGGAGTCCCCATGAGAAGAAGAAGAAGCGGAGGTCACGGTCACAGACCAAGTCGAAGGCCCGCTCGCCCTCGGGGTCGCCCAGGAGGCAGGCGGCACACCGGCCTGCAGCCCACGCCACCCACTCGGCCCACTCGGCCAGCATCTCTCCTGTGGAGAGTCGTGGCTCCAGCCAGGAGCGCTCCAGGTGACTCTGACCTTCAGATGTTTCTTGGCAGGGCTGGGTGGGGTAGGTGAAGAGGTCCAGGCCTGGGAAGGGCCATGCTGTCTCCAGGTGTCCTGAGCCGACAGGGTCTGTTCCCTTGGAAGCCAGATCCCTGGGGTGCTTGGGAGGAGGGGCACTGGAGGTACTCGGATGAGGCAGCAGCATTCTCAGGGAAGCTGCCAGTCCCCTGGGGCCACCACTCAGCCACACCCTCCTGCAGCCTGCTGCGTCTGGCCTGGGTAGAGGGTAGGACAGTAGGCAGCTTTCAGGGTCCATGTGACTCAGAGCTAGGCCATCAGCCACAGTGGCTGGGGACAGAACTGTAAGCGCAGCTGTTGGTCACGTCACGGTGGTGCGGCTGCTGGTGAAGGTAGCCCACTTGGTCAGGGGCTCTCCCCTCCGGGGTTGATGGAGCAGCTGCAGTCAGACACCTGCCCACCCCACTCATCAGCAGGGGCCTTTGGGACCCCTCTCACTGGGGCAGCTCTGGACAGAGGTGGCACAGGCAGCCCCTGACCCTGCACACACGCGGTGAGTGTCCACGGCCCTGTGGGTACGCTGCAAAAAGCTGTGCCTGCCACCAGATGGGACGTGGCCCAGCAGTCCTGACTGTTCTGAGATGCTGCTGTGGAGAGAGATTGCATTTCGTAAAGTGTTTCAAATGAGCATGACGTAACGGTGTCGGTGGTGTGGCTCACGCGCACAGCACTGTGCGTGGCTCACATCTGGGCTGTGTCTGAGCTGCTGCTCTCTCTGCCCAGGGGAGTCTCTCAGGAAAAGGACGGGCAGATCTCCTCCGCCATCGTGTCCTCGGTGCAGAGCAAGATCACTCAGGTGAGGAGTGGGGCTGGGGGCTGCCCCCCCAGGGGACTTGGGCACAAAGTCATGCAGCGGGGCTTGGGGCATGCCAGGAACGTGACACTGGCCTCATCTCACCTTGCCACCCATTCGCAGGATGCTCACGGTTCCCCTCCTGTCCCCCCACACAGGATCTCATGGCCAAAGTAAGAGCAATGCTTGCGGCTTCCAAAAATGTGCAGACCAGTGCCTCCTGAGACAGCCACCCACCACAGGGGCCCAGACTGGCACAGCAAGCCTGGCACAGCAAGCGCAGGGGCCGTGGTGGGCCGCAGCCCCAGCCCACCGAGGTCACAGCATGGGGAGGCTGAGGAGCTACAGGCTATGCGGAGCACGTCAGACTCACACCTGGGACCCTGTGGACAGTGGGTGGTTTTTGTAAATTAATTTTTGATGACATTTTCAGTTTAAGACTTTTTGACCAGCAATCTCTTACCTGTATATTTGTAAATAATATCATGTTTCTGTGAAAATGTATTATCAAATAAAATGGGAGGAAACCACCTTTTCTAGCTAGAACCTTGGGGCAGCTTCTTCCTTCATTGTTTGAGGGCTTTGTTCCCTCCCTTTGTCGTCCATTCGATGCAGCTGCGCGATGCGGGAGCAGGTGTGGGGTCTGCCCAGGCAGGGCGTGCCCTCCCCACCCTGACTGCAGCCCCCACATGCCATGGGCTCCTGTGGGGTTTCTTGATTGACCAAGTCATGTGTCACTCAGGGCCCTAGCTGTTGAGGCCTCACCTCTTGGTACCCACATGCTGGGCACATAAGGTGCTGGTCCTGATGTCAGAGGGCCCTGCTGGCTTGTCCGTCTGCTGCTGAGGCCCAGGACAGTCTCCTCATCCCCGCTATGTGGTGGTCCCTCTGCTCACTCAAGTCCTGCGCCCAGTCAGAGATCACAGCTGGAGCCGAGTCTGGGGGACAGGTGTGGGGTGCTGCAGGTTAGAGCTCCCCACCCCCACACCCCTGCACACTGGTCAAGGGCCTGCTTCCTCTGACTGGGGAGGCAGCAGATGGTGCGCCGTGTGGGAGACCTGGGTGGAGTTCCCAGTACATGCACATGCTCTCTCACTTAGCAAACAGTGCTAGTGAGGCAAGAAACCTGCCACCTTGGCCTCCTGGAGCTGATGTGGGCAGGACGGTCAGGAGACCGTCCTGAGTGGCCTGGAGGTGCCCAGGTGGGGCGGGCGGGGCGGAGCCAGCCCTCCAGGCGCCCACATCCCTGCAGGTACACTGCAAAAAGGTATGCCTGCCACCAGATGGCCTCTGCATGCAGTGTCTGAGATGATGATGTTGGCGCTCTCAGCACCTGCTCCCTCAAGGGACCTGTGGTTTCGGCTGGTACAGTGAAGACCCTGCAGGCACTGCCCCCGCGCAGCACCTGGAGATGGAGGTGCCAGCTGGGAGGTGGCACACAGCTGCCATCATGGGGAGCTGCTGGACGCACCATTCCACATGGTTGCCAGCTGGAGGGGCTGCTGGGTGCACCGCCATTTCCACACAGTTGCTGTCTGGGAGACTGCTTGGTGCACCCCGGTTTCCACATGGCTGCCGTCTGGAGGGGCTGCTAGCCACCAGGATTCGAGTGCCTTCTCAGGACTGTGGCGTCTTGGACGCCTTCATCTTGGCTGAGTCAGAGACATGAAAAGGTCTTATTTTAATTTGGTTTTTAAAGGTGAACAGCTTCAGAAATGCATCTGGGATTCTTTTTCTCTGAACTGTGTTGGATGTTTATTACTACAGTTGCATTTGTTACAGAACTGTACACCGCTAAACATATTAAAGAGTCTTGATTTGTATTGTTGTAAGGAATTATTATTATTATTACTGTTATTGTTACTATTGGAAGAGCAGATTTACAGGAAGAAGGAGATATGGAGAGAAAGATCTTCCATCTGCTGGTTCACTCCCCACATGGCTGCAACAGCCAGGGCTGAGCCTATCCGAAGCCAGGAACTTCCCTCAGGTCTCCCACGCGAGTGCAGGGTCCCAACGCTTTGGGCCGTCCTCGACTGCTGGATGGGAAGCAGAGCAGAGGGGACACAAACCAGCACCCATGTGGGGAACCAGCATTGCTGGCTGAAGATTAGCCAATTGAGCCATCACACTTGTCCCAATTGTTTGTTTTATATTTTGTCTCAACTTGCCATTTCTCTTGACATTTTTATTATTGTTTTTTAACATGGTTATTTCTTGAGCAGGCCTCCATTTATTAGGATTTCTAGGGACCATCTCCTCAGATGGAACTTGTGCCTGCCAGTCTTCCTTTCTGCTGTGTCCTGGCTTTGCTGTGCCGCTGTCCAGCGGCTGCTGAGGACAGCTAGGACTGCAGGGGGAGAAGCAGCAGCAGTCAGCACACTAAGCCACCACCTGCTACCCCAGCACCCCAGGTCTGCCAGTTTGAGCCCCAGCTTCCCACTCGTGTCTGAAAAGGCAGTGGAAGATGGCCCTGTCACACAGGAGGCGAGTAGCGCTCCCGGCATCACTGGCCCTGCCCTGCTGTTGTGATTACTTGGGGAGGAAGTCAATGCATAGCACGGCTCTCATGCTGCTTTGAAATAAACCTGAAAAAAATCTTAGGATGGAATCATTTCCTATGCCCTTAAAAATGTGCTAATAAAATTGATCTCCAAAGCAGTGACACCCACCTGTTTTTGGGAAAGCCACTGTTTTTCCAGTAATCTTGTGCCTGCTGTCTCAGGGAGGGAGGTGGATGCTCACACCAGCTGGGGGAGCACAGGAGGAAGGTGGTGGGCACGGGTATAGATGGGCTGCCAGGAAGGCCAGCAGCTTCTTCCTGGGGCCTGGTCCCAGCAGGCAGTTCCCACCCAGTGGCTGTTTGTTTAAGCAACTGGCCCACAGGGCTACAGAGGAAGGGGATCCCTCCACACGGCTGCGTGCTAGCTTCCTGCCAGTCCCAGTGGCTTGTCACACACCACAGCGTGTCTGCCTACAGGAACCAGTGCCTGCCGCATCTTACCTTACCAAAAGGTGATTCATGCGGACTGTGACTAAGGGCCTACTAGACAGGCTAGGCTCTGACACCACTGTGTCACATGAGAGCTGGGTTTGCTGGTAGGCCAGGCTGGACTAGGCTGTAGCGCCCACTGGTGAGAGCCGGTCAGGCTAGGCCACAGTCCACCAGTGTGTGCCAGGACTGGGGGCTGGCCTTGTTGAGCTGCAGCTTCTGCTGGAGAGTGTAAGAACTGACACGGGTAGCGCGGGCAGGGCTGCAGCACCCATCAGCAGACATTCAGGCTGGATCTGGAGGTGGGCTAGGCTCCCATACCTGCTGACATGCACAAGAGCAGCCAAAATGGGTGTGGGTCAGCCAGAGCACAGCACCAGCTGGCGAGTTTTAGGATTGGGCACAAGTTTTATCAGGCCAGACTGCAGTGCCCCCTGGCAGGCATCAGAACCGAGGCTGGAAGCGGCCACGACAGAACTATGGGCACTTGCCTCCTGGGCTGCAGCCCTCGCTCGTGAGCATGAGAACATGAGTTCCGAGGCTGGGAGTTGGTCTGTGTATGGGCTGGGGGTGGATTGTGCTGAGCTAAACTGTAGCGCCCATGGGTGTGCAGGAGAGCCAGATTAGATGTGGGATGGACCAGGCTAAGCCACAGCATATGGCAACACATGCAAAAACCAGCACTGGGATTCAACTTGTTGGGGTTGTTGGGGTTCTCCCTCCTAGTATGGCAGGCTGAGCTCGGCTGCTGCGCTGGTCAGTCCATGTCTGAACCTGTGGACCAGTCTAGCTTGCCTGTCCTCTCACAGCCTTGTCTGGTTCCTGGCTGTAAAACCACAATTTGTTTCAAAATGGCTTCTGAAGCCATCCTGCTCAGCCATACCTGAGGTCTGCATCCTGCACTGCAGGAGAGTGATTCCTGGATGAGATCACTTGGGCAGCTGGTCAGAAACAGCCTCCTGCCCACACAGGGGGTACACTCAGCTACACAAGGAAGGACTCAATGGGCTTCCCCGGGCAACCCAGACACCAGGTGGGACCCAGCAGGGACTCCAGTTAACGACATTGGCACCACTGTGCCAGTGGCTGTGCAATCCAAACCTGCTCCTTCAGAGGATGGAAAGCAGAATGGACAATTCTGGATGCACTAAGGTGGACTTGGTCAGCCAGTAGACTTTGGATTTTACCAACCCTCAAGCAATGAAACTGACAGTCCTCTGAACTATCAGAACCACTCAAGTAACAACACCCTCAGAACATTCCAAGACATCAAATGTGTTCATTTGATGACCACAACCCAACCTCCAGCTTCCAGCCCCAGCCCCAGGCCCAGAACAATGGCTCATTTGCCAAATCCCTGCCTTGCATGCACCAGGATCCCATATGGGCACCAGTTGTTGTCTTAGATGCTCCACTTTCTTGCCTGTGTCCTGGGAAGACAGTCAAGGACAGTCCAAAACCTTGGTACCCTGCACCTGCATGGGAGACCCGGAAAAAGCTCCTGGCTCCTGCCTTCGGATAGGCTCAGCTCTGGACATTGTGGCCATTTGAGGAGTGAACCAGCGAATGGAAGATCTTTGTCTCTCTTTCTGTAGAGCTGCCTTTCCAATAAAGATGAATCTTGAAAGAAAAAAGGGCATGGTGGCATAGCGGCTAAAGTCCTCGCCTTGAACATGCTGGGATCCCATATGGGCACCAGTTCTAATCCCAGCAGCTCCACTTCCCATCCAGCTCCCTGCTTGTAGCCTGGGAAAGCAAAGATGGCCCAAAGCCTTGGGACCCTGCACTCGCGTGGGAGACCTGAGGGAAGTTCCTGGCTTCAGATCGGCTCAGCACCAGCCGTTGCGGCCACTTGGGGAGTGGAACATCAGACGGAAGATCTTCCTCTCTGTCTTTCCTCCTCTCTGTATATCTGATTTTGCAATAAAAATAAATAATTCTTTTAAACCCTCACCCCCACCCCAGGGGCTAATGTAGCTTGGCAGGATCCCTGCCCACCCCGCCCTGCTGTGGCCTAGCAGGCAAGTTCCCCAAATTTCCCTTCCAGCCCTGTTCCCAGCCATGGATCCCATGCATACCGGCAGGTGCCAGTGGTGCTACAACCTGGTCCTACCCACCCTTCTCCCAGCCCAGCTTCCATGGGAGCCAGGTGAGTTCCAAGGCCCATCCTGGCTCATCCTGTCACCACACCAGCTCTCACACAAACTGTCAGGTGCTGCAGTCCCACAGAAGCGAGCCCACAAGTCCCCAGATCTGGTTCTCTCGCCTTCTGGAGGGTGTCACAGCCCAACCCAGTCTGAACCTGGCCTACCCTGACATTCATGGCAGGTACTACAGCCCAGCCCACACATGCATGTCCCCCGCCCCCTCTTTTGTTTGCACCAGTGGGCAACAAGTGATGCCCAACCCAGGTCACCCAGGTAGGTGGAGCCTTGGCCTGACCCAGACATGCCCTCCAGTTTCCCTCTTCTAAACCATCCCATCTCTGCTCCCTCACCTATCTGCAGTGGCCTGGTCTGTGGAAGACCCTGGAAGTCATTCCTGTCCTGTTATACATGCCCTCAGCTGCTCTCACACCACCCCCACCTGGGGACCAGGGTGGCATGTCCGGGCCCCACGGGCCCAGCCTTTCCCACTTAGCTTTTAAAAAAAGAAGAAAACAGGCAACTATGATGGCACACTCAGAGTTAACACAAATCCGTCATTAACTGGGCCCAGAATACGCACCAGCTACTGGCTGCTTTCTCCCATCAGTGTAACCTTTGCCTGGGTGCAAAGCAACCTAGGCAGTTGCCTACAGCTGGGGCAGAATATTTTCATCATCTGGAAAAGGAGATGCAGGGTTTGTAGGCCCTGGAAGGAAAAGGCAGAAACCACCATGACAGGCTGCAGGCCACGGACTTGCCTGTCTGCTTGGGTGACATGGGCCCTGCCAGCCCCAGTCCCCTGCAGCCCTGCAGCCTGGCCTGGAGGGCGAGTTGATCCCAGTGGCAGGTATGCCTGAAGCCTGCCATCCCTCAGAGGGAGGAGCCCCGCGCAACCTGCCCACTTGAAAAGTTGCTTTAATTACAAGTTCATTAACTATTCAGCAAGTGCAGCTTGGGAAAGCAAGGACTTTCAACGTGGAAATAAGATGTGAGAAAGCCCTTCAGAAGATTGCCCGTTCATCCAGATCCCAAACGAGGAAGCAGACACTCCACAGAACGCTCAGGAACTATTAGAGCACTATGGAGATGAGCCAAGGAGGCCCCTGCCCGCATGCAACATGCCAGGACATTCCCTCTGGAAAAATCTTGCAAAAGCAGACACACGTGCAGTAGCTGGGCTCTCTGCCGGTCGTCGTGGCCCCAGTAGCCCAGGGCTTGCTGCCTGTGGCCCTCTACTGGGAGCTGAGCTAACAGCATAGCTGGCCAGCCCAGCAGACCCACAAGAAGTGTCTGGAATGAGAGACAGACAGACATAAAACAGGGTGCAATAGGGTTCAAGAGTGAACAGACCCGGAAGCAAGGCAGTCAGATGGGGAAGGCAATCGAATCCACAGGCATGGGGCCTGGGAGAGACAGGGTGCAGGCCAGAGGGGGGAGGGGGAGCTAAAAGACTCAGAGGAGCACATGGAGACACAGCAATTGCCATACGGAACCTGGAATGCCATGAATGGCACGGACCTGCGTCCTGGGGGCAGCATTGCTGCCCAGGCTGCATGGCAGGAGGAGCATGGATTGGAACCAGGCCCTCCAGTATGGGCTGGATA